CTCATCATCCCCTTTGGCCTTGGCGAGTTCCACGACCCACTTTCAGCTGTGGCGGTTGTTTCTCTTATCCACCCACCCTCACATCTGGCTTGACATGTTTTCCTTAAAGCTGCCTAAATAATTTACCTTGACTAAGAGCAAAGAGCAGTGCCAGCCCCAGACAAAGCTTTCTGGGAATGGCAGTGACTGGAGGGTACTTGCTGTACTGGACACTGAGCAGTGGCATGCCTGACTCTGCTGGATCCAGGTATCCCAGACTTCCATCAGCCTCCTTCCTGAGAGGGCAGGGGTCCTGCCTCACAAAGCTGAGCTGCTCTAGGCTGAGAGGATCAGTTTCCTTAAGTTCTGAAAATCCTTGAGATGTTTTCCTTCTTTTTTTATGGGGAAAAGAAAGTTTGTTGGGACTATGCACGTATTAGCTCCTTTCCATGACGTTTTCCCACCTCTGCTCCTCCGAAGCCTCAGTCTGAAGAACAGCTGCTCCCATGCTGCTGTGTCTGTTCCTGAACTTTTGCATTCTTGCACCCAAACTCCTCAGAGAAGAGGAAATCAGTGAGTTGCCCCGCTCCTCCTCGAATCAAACATTAACCAGATCCTTTGGTGTATTTGGTCCCTTTTCTTGGTTTGTGTCCAGTGCTGCTTTCACAGAGCTGGTGCCACAGCTCTCGGGCTCCGAGGATGGAAATGTGTTCAGCTGAGTGTCCGCAGAGCGAGGATCACTGTCACCATTTCCACATCACTTGGCTCATTGAGCATCACCAACCCATGGAGCTGGGAATCCCGGAGTAAGAAATGCCCAGAAATCTGTGTGTGGGGCTCGACATTTGGCCTCACCCTTGGCCACCCAGCCTGCCTGCCAGGGCCAGCACTGCCACATCTCAGGGGGTCCTGTCCCCTTGTGCTGCTGCCAAGGGTCTCAGCCTGCGTGTAGGGAGTGGCTCTGGTCCCAGGGACAGCGCAGCCATGCTGTGCCGTGCAGCTCTGAGGAGTGGGGAACAGATCGGCTACTTCTCGACGGTGCATTGTTAAAGGTTTCACCTCCCCCAAAATGACACATTGCAAGCAAAAATAGAACAAGACAGAACACATAGACCCACCCCCACCATCCCCACCACCCGGCAGCCAAGTGCATGCGGTGCCAAAGTCTCAGGTTTATAAGCTGGTGCTTTGTCACCCTCCCTCCCCTCAGCCCTGCCACCACCTGCCTTGGCCCGGCAGGCGTTCCGGCAGCCCGATGAGTGACCATGGCACCGAGAGCAGCCACGCTGCTGGGATGATCGCCACGCAGCCCGCACTGTGCACTGGATCTGGCCTCTCCCTCTTTGCCTGATGGGTCTGGGGACAGGGACAGCTCCCAGCTGTGGTGTTTGTGGCAGAGGTTGTCTCACCTGCTGCACCGTGGTGCGGTTGAAGTGGCACAAGGGATGCCTTTGTCCAGGAGAGCCACCTCCGGCGCGGTGTCAGGGCTTGGCCCAGCGTGCCCTGAGCTAGGGCTGTCTCCTGAAGAGGATGAGGGAAGCTGCCTCCCAGCCAAGGAGCAGGGTCCAATTCTGGACTGCCGCCGGCGTGTGCTAAGCACAGTTGGACTGGGCAGAGATCTGGTTGGAAAAACTCCAGGAAAGGAAGAGTTTCTCCGGAGGCGGTAGATCTGTCAGCTGTTTGTCAGCAGCACCTAACGAGGCTGTGGCCTGCCTTCACTACCCCGGATCCTCCATGGCTTCAGAGCCAGTGCTTACACTTGCAGGGGAATCATCCAGGCTTCATGAGGCCCCCTGTGATCCTATTCTGGGACACAAAGCCCATTTACTTTCACATCTGTGGGTTTTTAACGTTGGAAACGGCTGGAGCAGAGGTCAGCAGTGTCTTGGGGAAGGGCTGGAGCGGTTTGGGCTGGATGTCGGGGTGGAGAGGAGCAAAGAAGTGATGGCACCAGAACTCACACCCTGAGGACAAGCAGCCACGTCTGGAGAGTGGTTTGGGCATGAGGGGGAACTTCTCCCTCTGAGGCCGGATGAGCAGGGCTGGGGCACATGTGGCCTGGCCAGGCTGTCAGGGCTGCAAGGCCAAGGGAGCAGGGCTGAGCTTATTCATGTGGAGGCAGAGGTGTCTGTGACACGTCCCTCTGTCACCCAGCCCTCCTCCAGTTATGTCAGGGGGAGCTGGGACAGAGTTGTCCTGCAGGGCTAGTTGGGCTGGGAGGAAGGCTGCTGTCACCTGCGCAGTAGCTACACTGTGCAAACAGACATTGAACAGAGTCCTTGCAGAATGAGTTCTGCCTCACTTTCCCTGTGGGAGTCACACAGTTAACACTGGCTTCTTCTGGAGCTGCCTTGAGTTCATGCTGAGTAAGGTCTGAGAGGGGCAACAACATCTAGAACCGCCTGGCTGGGATCTGCTCAGCCCCAGTGCTGTTCTCCTGAGGAAGAGGAGGCATATCCAGGACAGACCTGGTGGCTTTGTGGCAGCGAGTGGCTGCTGTATTTATCTGTGCTGAGGCCATGAGGCATTTGCCGCTGGCATCTCACCATGTGTGCTTTTGCACCGGTGGGTTTCTCCCATCTCTGATGCTCTGCATCTGCTCTCACAAGTCATGGCTTGGCACGAGCCTCTGCCTCCTCCTGCACCTTTTGAGTTCTTCCCAGGAAAGGCCCAAAGGGGAACAGCGTGGGGGAAACAACCATTTGCTGATTCTTGTCTGATTCTTGGCTGTTTGCAGGGAGCCACCGGCACTTGTGATGGCAACTCCCAGTTGACCCACCTTCCCCCAGGTGTCTTGCTGGCAGGTTTGGGAAGATCAGGGTGGGCTGTGCTTTGGCTGATGTGACCTCTGTGGTAGAAAGCTGAGCTTCTCGTGAAGGGAGGCTGCAGAGAACTGAAGGGTTCTGTGGGTATGACTGTGGAGTGTTGAAAAGCCTCCCACTCTGCTGCCCCTGAAGATCATGGGGGAGGGGAAAGGGGCTTGCACCATTTAGCAGGAAACACCCTTTTAGGAGGAAAAAAACTAGCTGGGTTTACGATGGGGACATGTTTATCCTCTGGTTCACCATGTGAGGGTGGAGGAGTGGTTCCCCAGGCTGGAATGGAGGGCAGGAGCCCCATGAAGCTCTGCTGTGCCTGGCAGACCCCACAGCATGGGGACAAGTGCTGTGGGGGCACTTAACCAGCCAAGCTGTCCCAGGCTGCACACAGACCCTCCTCCCTGCCAGGGGCAGCTGTGGGGTGATGTCTGGGACAGCTGTGCCTGAGAACCAAGCTGGGTGCCACGGCTGGGCTGGCTCTAGGCAGAGATCAGGACACACGTGAGGTGGTGCCTGGACGTGCTGCTGCGTTTGGGTGTTTGCTTCCCGCAGAGCGTGGGGCCCCGCAGACCCTGTCACCACAGCCCCTGGTCGCCTGCACCGTTCCCCCTCTTGCCCTCCAGCCTTTTCAACTCCTACAGTCTGGGGGCGGTTGGGAAGCGACAGCTGGAGCCAACGCGCCAGCCCGGTGCGCGCTGCCATGCCAACCCCGTTTCCATGGCAATGGGCACCCAATAGGTGACTGCCAGGCAAGGCCAAGATGCCTGAAAAATGATGTGGTACCCCCCGAAATGGCCAGCTGAGGGTGGGAGCCTGCAGATGCTGCTGGTTCCAGTGCTGCCTGCAATGCCTGGGAGCGGATCAGAACCACCCCAGGCCACAGGTGTGTGTAACAGGGTGGGTGAAACCCTCAGTGCACTCAGTGAAACCACTGAGAGAAAAAAAAGGGGGAGGTGTGTGCAGCGCCTTTGACAGCCCCCTCCGACCGTCTTACAGCCTAATTTAATTAAAATCGTTGGGTCTTACATAATCCTCAGGGTGCCGTGCTGCTGGAGCCACCCCCGCCCAGTGCTGGAGAGGGTCCCGCAGTGTGGGGGTGTCAGGAAGGCAGCGGGACACGGGAAGATGTGCTCCCCAGGGCCACCTGTGCCCTGGGGCTGCTCTTCACTGGCCCCCCTTACCTGAGTCCCTGAGCCCCATGTTTATCCAGCTCCACGTTGAAGTCTAGGTGTGTATCAAAACATTTTAAAATAACTCTGCCTTTTGTTAGCATTGCAGCTATCTTTAGAGGAGATTTGATTTTATTTGAAAGCCCTCCCTGGGAGGGTTTGGTGGAATAGATTCCCAGCCCAGCGGCTGAAAGGGATATGAGTGTGGTGATTTCCTTTCTTGGCTGGAAACACTGTATTAATTATTGCTTATCGATCTCATAAGCCCCATCTTACCCCTGCAGCTGTCTCCTTGGCTTTCCCGAGGTTTCCACAGCTGGAAGGGGCAGTGTTGTGCTCAGAGTGTTGCTCATGATCCACTTTTCAGGCACCCTGGGCTGGTTCTTCAGGCATCCTGCTCCGCAGCTCCATCACCCCTGTGTCACCAAATTCCCTGTTCATGGCAGCTGGTGGCTTTCTCAAACACTATAATCAGGATGGGGAAAAACAGTGCTGTGTTTTCATGGTGAACCCAGGTCACAGCCATGGGCCCCGCCTCTGCAGCCACGGCAGTGGCTTTGTGGACAGCCCACAGCCCCCCCAGCACATGCCAGTGTCCCTGCTCATGCTGTGATGGAAGGTGGACGGGACGAGGAGCTCTTTGCTGAGTGGACGTGGCCAGGAAGGCGCCCTGAGCCCACCAGGGGCCAGCTCTGCACCTTTTGGGCAGCCAAACCATTTTGTGTCTGACCAGTTGTCCTGTCAGCAGCCTGACTGCCACTGTGGCACACTGGGGAGAGGGAACTGCAAGTCACCCGTGACGGGTAGGGTGGCCGGGGTCCCCCTGTGTCCTGGGGCTGCTGACCTGGACCTGCTCCCTTATGGAGAGCCAGGAGTGAGGGAGAGGCTGGGCAGCAGCCCAGTGGTGGGGATGCTGCAGGACGGCCGAGCAGAGTCTCTGCCCTTCCTTTGGGCTTCTTGCATCCTGCTTTCAGGCTTCCTGCTGTCTCCAGGCTCTGATCTTTAACATGTCACCCCTTTCTCCCCCCACTAGGAGACAGGAACAGTTCCAGACAAACCCTGACAGCTACAATGGAGCTGTGCGAGAGAATTACACCTGGTCCCAAGACTACAGCGACCTGGAAATTAAAGTGCCTGTACCCAAGCACATCGTCAAAGGCAAACAGGTAAAGTGGTGTTAGCGGTGAATCTTTTCCCTTTCCCTCAGGGTGCCCAGCTTTCCCAGGAAGCTGTGTTTGGAATGGGAAGGCTCCTTGTCCTTTGTACTCAAAGAGAAGGATGCAGTTGTGCCTTTTTCTCTGGTGTGTGTCTGGTGGGGACTGATGGTCCCAGCCTGCTCATGTTCCTGTTGAGCCGCAGTGTCCTCTGCTCTGTCCCAGCCAGGCTCTCTGGCACTGCCTCATCTTTTCTGTGCTTTTTCTCTGTTTCCATCACCTGCACACTCAAACATGGCTTTTGGGGCATGGCTGTTGATGGATACCCCTTCCTCAGTTGTGCCTCTGGTGCCTTCCGTTTGGAAGTGGGAGCTGCTGGAGCAGCTCTTCTGACACTGCAGAACTGCGTCAGGCACAGCCTGTGTGTGGCTTGACCTGGTCTGGGTGGAAGGGAGCTGGTCTGGGGTGCAGACTGAGAGCCAGTCCCTGTCCCTGGCTGGCTGCAAGGCAGGAACTTCTCTGCTCTGCTTGTGGTCACGTTGTATTTCCTTTACTGCTTCTGTTCCTTCCCATGGCTGGTCTTAGTTGGACCAAGAAGTTTGAACTCTTTCGAGTGCTGCCCTCCCCATGGCTGATTCTGTATTTTTCCATTTGGGAAGCCTGTGCTCCCCCACCTTCCGCTCTCCTCTGCTTCCAGGGCGGCTGAAAGGAGCACACTGGGGTTTGTCACCGGCTCCAGCCTACACAGCTCCTCGGCATGCCAAGGAGTGTCAGTGGCAGCAGCAGCAGCAGCAGCAGCTTGGGCCAGAGGGGTGAGGGAGCACACGGCTGCCACAGGCACAGCAGGGCCCTGGGAGATGCATCTCTCCCAGCAGCTCTCTAAAACAAACCCAGGCTGTTTCTTGGAAGGATTTCGGCCTATCCAGACGGGTGTTCCATTCCTCCGCATCGTACTGCGATCACGATGCCTCTCCCTGCCCATGGAAAAGTGCCCTCCTTGCCAGGGGAGTTCTGTCCTTGCCAAAATATCCACACTGGGCTCTGTCTGCCCCATCCTTGGCCATGGAATGGTGCAGAGGCCTGCAGGAGCTCATGGGAGCGGAGACAGGATACGGTTTCCTGACCTTTCCTTGGCTCAAGACTTTGCCATCACTGTGGAAAAGTCCCTGCGCCTCGGAGTGGAGGGGGTTTCAGGACAACCCCTTCCCACACCAGTGCCCATGGCACGACTCTGCCTGCCCTTGCCCTGGTGTATGCCCGTGCTGCCCTCGGAGCAGTCGGCTGTTCGGATGCAGGACTCCCCTTCTTGTGCTCTGTCTCCTAGTGTTTGTTCATCCCTCTCAGGGCTCCCCTTGGTGGCTGAGTTTCCTTTTCCAAGTGATTCTTTAATTCTTCTTCAGCCTCCAGGGAATGGGAGCAGACAGGCTGAATCTTGGGCCAGAGCAGGAGGGTGCAGAGCCATTACAAAGCTCTTTGACTTTGGTCGTGTTGTTGATGGGTTCCTGCACAAGAGCAGCATTCTCCTGCATTCACACACCTTCATCTTTTTAAAAAATTATCAGGTTTTTGGCTTTTGCCTGCCAAGGTGAGATTAAAAATCTCCACATTTGGTCCCTGGGCTCGGAGTGTGCCCAGCTCTAATGCTGCTTACAGTCTTCTTTATGACACTTTTTGGGATTTGGGCTGTTGCTATGGCACATTTTTGCTCTGGTGAGCTTAAGGTTTCCTTGTATGGAGCTCAAAAAAGTGTCCTTGGAGCAGGACTGGGCGATGGAGTAGGTGGGAGCATCTTCCTCCCTGGTCCCCACCTCTCTGATCTACTTATGGGTGCAACAGTGGCCCACCTATCCAAGCACTTAAATAGAGATAATGACTCCAGGCCTCTCTGTTTGCTGGACTTGGAGGAGACAAGCTCAATTCTTCTCTCAGTTTGTGTTTGCTTGTTTGATCTGGGTGGGCGGGTGTGGGTGTTCCGTGCGCACAGAAATCGCTGTGGTGTAAAAGCCATGGCACAGAGCTGAGAGTCGGCTTTCCCTGGAAGCACTGAGTCAGCGAGGGGTTTAGGGGGGCAGAGGTACTCCTGGCTGGGGACAGGCAGCCTTGAAGCCTCTGGGGTGCTTTCAGGGTGTTCCCTGCAGGATTGCTCTTGGCCTTCCCCCAGGTGTGGACTGTCCACAGGCACCACCCTGTGCATATGTGAGATCTCTCAGAGATGTCCCTCATGCACAGAGGGGCAGGGCTCTCCAGCGGGCTGTGCTCTGCCCCTGTACCCTGTCCCTGCTCCTGGGGGGTTGCTGTGTGGAGCGGGACCTTCTTGCTGGGCACAGTTGTAGGAACAGGTGTCACAATTGCTTCTCACTCTGGCTGCTTGCACAGCAAAGGGATTGGGTGAAGGCTGCCCAGTTAGAATCCCTTCTTCTCCTTGAGCTTCTGTGCTCCCTCTCCCAACACCTGGATGGTCCCAGAGCCACCTCAAAGTTGCCCCTTAGCTCCAACAGCTGCCTCGTGCAGGGAATAAAAACCCCTCTCACATTTGGTTGCTCCTGTTCCTGTGGACCCCAAAACCACAATGCTGCATCTGTGCCTTCCATGTCTTCAACCTCCCTGACCCTCCACACCACAAAGAGGCCTCCTCAGAGGGTGACTCAGGAGTCACCTTCCTTTTTTTCCCTGGACCCCTTCTGGACAGGCCCTGTGTCGTGCTGCGAGCCCGGCAGCAGCCCTGTCCCTGCACCCGGGGGCCTGGGCGGGTAGTGGTGGCAGAAGACAGAGCCTCATCCTCACGCCTCATCCCTGAAGTGAGGCCTCAGCCCTGGGCTGGAGGGAGCTGCTCCGTGCTCAGCCTCTCTGGAGGTGTTTCCCATCTAGGAGCAGCTGCTCTCTCTCGCAGAGGCCGTCCGCAGCCACGTGCTGGGTGGCAGCCAGTTGTCCTCTCCCGTCCTCATGTTCCTTCCCTGATCCCCAGTGACCGTGGTCTTGCTCCCAGCCATTATGTCAGAGCTCAGTCCTGTGTCACCCTGTGCTGTGTGTGCTGGGCCTCCTCTGCTCCTGCCAGAGCCCCAGCAGCTCCCTGTCACACACAGCAGGTTCAGGGGCTGTACCCAGGTGACATCAGTCAGACACAGCCACAGTGCTCTCTCTTGCTGGAGCAGCTCTGCCTGTCTCCTGCCTGCATGGAGCTAGTGAGCCGCTGGAAATCTCCTAGGTAATGGATAATGTAATAACATTTCAAATGAGATCTGCAGAGCGGGAGGAAGATCTGGGGGAACTCTGGGAGAGAATGCAGGCAAATCTCACTGCAGTCTCCTCCTCTCGGGCCAGTGCTGGGGGCCACAATCCTGCCCCTTCCCAGCCAGGTCTTCCCTGCAACCCCTGGCCTGGTGCGGGCTCTGCTGGCAGCAGCTCAGCGCTGAAGGGGACAGGAGAGAGCATATGGTCTCTCCGGAGACCAAGGATACTGCGTGCCTGTCACAGGCTGCCTCTGCCTCCCCGGGGGACAGCCGTGTCACCTGCGCGGCAGGTCGGAGCAGGGTTCCCCATATGGCTGCTGTGGGCGGGAGCTGGCCCCGTTCCTGGGGACAGAGCTGTCCCCGTCGCAGGGAGCCAGGGAGCGGTGCCGGGCTGTGCCGCAGCGTTCCTCCTGCACGCGGCCCCTCCTCGCACGCCTGAGGGGCGGCCTGGGCCGAGCCCAGGGCTGGCTCCAGCAGCACGAGCAGAGCTAAGGAGTTGGCTTTCGGCACGGTGCAGCACAGGGGGGACGAGCTGCTGCAGCCCTGGAGTAGGAACCCCCAAATTACCCCCGCCCAGACACGAGGACGACACACACCCCTGCCCAGCTCATCATGGTGACAGAGGGGCACACACCCTGCTCCTAAAGAGCTCAATCACAGCAAGTAGGTGCCCAACCTTTGAGTGCTATCTGCAGGCCTGTAGCATTACAGGTGCACTTTTCTCTGTGGGGAAACTGAGGCACTGGGTAGAACCAGCTGCCTCGAATCCTTCAAGGGCCCCAATTGCTGAGCTGTGCTGCCTTTCCCTTCCTGGAGAGGTTCCCTCACTCCTCCAAGCTGTCGCTGTTCACTATGAGATGACAGAGGGATTCCCACCCTCCCGCTACATGCAGTGCTGGAAGCTCTTCTCTCTCATCCCTGGCTAGTGCACTTGACCCCACACCCCAACTCACAGAGCGAGAGGGCAAGCAGGAACATTCCAGATGACTGTCTGTCTCTGTGTTTCCAGGTGTCTGTGGATATCAGCAGTGGCACGATCCGCGTAGCGGTGCTAGAGGGGAGCAGCCAGCATGTCCTCATGGAAGGGAAACTCACCCACAAGATCAATACAGAGAGTTCCCTGTGGAGCCTGGAGCCCGGGAAGTGCATTTTGGTAAGGGCAGTCTGCACCAGCCATGTCCCCTTGGCTTGTAGCTGCGCTGGGCTTGACCTGGGAAACTGCAGCAGCTGGAAGTTTGAGCCAGGTGGAAGAGGCTCAAGAAAAGGCTTCTCTTCTAGGAAAAGAAATGTGTCTGGCTTTGCCTGTCCAACATCTGGCTCGTGCTGCCCTTTCCTGTGGGCTGTGCCTTGCCTTCCGCTCCTGAGGTGCCCCTCAGGGTGCCGGCTGAGCAGCACATCTGCCAGGCTGGGCGAGGGGGTCCCCAGCTCCAGCTGCAGGCAGGGGAGCACAGCTGTTACCTGGGGGTCATCACTGTCCCCAATCCCACCACATGGCCCTGCGCTGCAGCACCAGTCCTGCACACCTGGGCTTGTTGACTCTGCCCTCCAACTCTCCTGGCCCTGCTCTGGCCCCGGCATCTTGGCAGGTGCCTGTTCCCTGCCATTCCTTTCTGTCCTGCCATGGGATTCCTACTTACCCTGTTTGAAGTGGACACTGTGTCTCGTTCTCTGTCTGCCTTCAGCAGGCCCGTGGTTTGCTGTGTGACTGCTGCCCCAAATCATCCCCATTGAAGAGGTCCAGGGGCTACTGGCACCCAGTTGTGTGTTACTGGTGGATTCCCAGCTCCAAGCCTGGTTTCTGATGTGCTCCAGATGTGCAGGCTGAGGGTGTGAGTTCACCTGTATCCACAGCTGGATGAGGGAAGCAGAGCTGGGAGGGGTTGTAAGGCAAGATAATCTTGTGGGGGTTCTGCCCATCACCCTGGGATCTCAAGTGTCAAACAGTTCCCAAACTCCTGTGCCAGTTTGGGGGCTAGGATTGTTCTGGGAGTGGGATTTTGCTTTCTGTGGCTATCTTTGCCCTGTCCTTTTCCATGCAGAGACTTACCCAGAAGAGTTTCAGGAGTCCCAAGGCTGCTGTGAGACCCGGGAGGGGATACATGCCATCCCTGTAGGGGAGGGAGCAGGCTCCAAGCCTTTCACCCCATGACACAAGAGTGTCAGCAGATGGGCACCCAAATCCAAGCCCCTACAGCGGGAAATAGAGTGGGAATGTACTGCCTGACTCGGGAATGCTGCAGGTGGTGTGTAGAGAGGCTGCTCAGTGTCACCCAGCCACTGCCAATCCATAGGGATGTACCCCAAGTGACAGGCTGGTGCCAAAAGGATGAGTGAGGTCCCTGCAAGGACAAGCTTCTCCGATGCTGTCAGGCCAGTGGAGGGATGTGGAAAAGGAGGTTGTGGCTTCTTTTACATGCATTTTGTAAATGTTCATAAACATCTTGAAAATTAGCTAATCTGGGAAAAGAAACAATCCTGGAAAAGTGTAAACCTGTTGAAGAGGAGATGGCCCAACGGGTGCTGCTCTCCAGCACGGAAGGGAGTCCCGGGTGGGTGTTCCCAGGATCAGCAAGGGAGGCGATGGCTCTTCAGTACCTGTCAGAGGCTGGGAATGGTGTGGGTGGAGCGAGACCTGGGGCCTTCTGAAGTGGCCACGGGCAGCATGGGGAGCAGAGTGGGCCCATCACCCCCAACTCCAGAGCTGGGTCTTGCCTCGAATTAGCATGAACCCAGGGTTGTGAGGATCTCCAGCTGGCTGCCAACATATTGATGGTGGGATGAGATCTCGCTTGAAGAATTGTAAGGTAACTGGAGCAGAGCGAGGAATTCTCGCCCGGGAGCATCTCCTTTTCCCATGCTCAAGTAGCCAGAAGTGGTTTGCGACGACTCCTGATTCATTCATCAGGAGACACCCACCCTGTGGGAATGAAATGCTTTGTTCAGAGCCTGGATGGGGCCGCTGGGGTTTGGTTGGGGCTGATGGGGTGTACAGACCGTTTCTGTACCCCAGTTTGTGTATAGCTCCGTGTGAGCTCCAAATGCAGCTGTTGAGGGTGTCTTCCTCCTGCAAGGTGCTGCTTGGCTTCCCTCCACAGGACCCAGGGATGGCGTTCCCTGGCAGGGTGATGATGCAACCGAAACCGAACTCACCCAGTGCTGGTGCCGGGGTTGCCTGAGGAGATTCTGCCCACCTTGGGCACTGCTTGGGGCTCCTCAGTGCTGCTTGTTTGTGTTCTGTGAGTTGAGGTGATCCCTGCAGCAGAGCTCGGTCTGTGCACCGAGGAGGGAGAATCTCTCCTGCTTGGTCCTGTCCATCTGGGAAGGTCCCAGCTCTGTGCAGAGAGGCTGTTGAGTTCCCTGTGCTCTTGCAGGACATGTCAGGGATCGTCAACCCCTATTCTCCATGCTGCTATTACAGCTCTTTCATCATCCTGGGCCTCCTCCCTTCTGGGATGCCGTTTACAGCTGCTCCAAAATGAGCCTCTCTGCTCCACCACCTCTTATCGTGGGAAGATCATCTTGCCTTACAACCCCTCTCAGCTCTGCTTCCCCCATCCTGCCTGGCGGTCTTATCCATGTATCCTCTTCATTACATGTCCCTCTCTCTCCAGCAGCCACAGCACTCCCCTCACCAGCATTCAGAGACTGGTCTGTCTTCCCCCGTCTTCTCCATGGGGTTCTCCTGGCTGGAGCCCAGCCTGACACCAGCATGTTTCTCATTTCATCCTTTGGCACAGCCACGTGCGTGGCAGCAAAACTCAGCTGGTGTCATTCCACAGTGGAGTGCTCTGCTGACACGGGGCAGGGGTCCATCCACACCTCCTCCTGCTCGGGATTGTGTCCCAGGATGTGCCCCTGCCCGTGGTGCTGCACCGTACCCTGGCCCTGGGTGTCATCCCTGTGCTCTCCCTTCCCCGTCACACCCGCTCGCTTGTCGAAAGTGAGATGAAAATAACCTCGCATGAGCTGTTTTTAGCAATCCCCGTTGGGTGTTGTGCACAACACCATTTGGGATTATTTTCGTTGTGGAGAATTTTTTCTCCATTTCCCTCTCTTTTTCTCCTCCTCTCATCCTTTGTTATCCACACTTGGGCTTTTGTCACCAAGTCCTGCCTTGAACACATACTACAGCCTTGGCTTGTCATCCCCTGAGCCACGAGGCCAAGGGGACATGACTCTGTGATGCCTCTCTCAGCCCTGCCCTCCACACAGTGCTAGGAATGCCACTGCTGCCTCCCCTGTTCCCCTAAACACCTCCCAGCGACTTTTGGGGTGATTTTGGGCTGCTGTGGTTCCAGCAGGAAAGCAGGCAGAGAGAGGTTGTTTCCCTACGACCCACTTAGACCCCTTGGCAGCATCTCTCCAGCTCTGAGAAGGTATTTGGGATTGGAGAAGAAACCTTGTGCTACAGCAAAGCCCAGCACTGACAATGAGGGATCGTGACCTTCCCAGCAGGGTATGGAGGTGGGACATGATGCCATGTCCATGCCAGTGATGCCTTCTACCTGCTGGAGGGGTCCCTCCTGCTGACTGTCTTGCAATCCCTCCTTACCCCTGTGCTTTTCCATGGAGCAGCCTTTCTCTACGTGGCTGACATGTTTTGGACACTGGCTGTGGGAAGTGAGCCCTTCAGCTTGAGGACACTGCTGTCTTAGGAGACAGCATTGGAGTGTGCTATTCCTGTCTCCCTAGGCACCCCAAAAAGACTCAGCTGGGCTTTTGTGCCTTTGGGATCCACCAGGCTGATCCAAAGCCTGGCCAAAGGTGTGGACATGCTGCAGGGACCTCATCTTTCCTCTGGCAAGTGGCTGTTCTGGGGTGCTGGAGGGTCAGCCCAAGCTGTTGGCTGGGAAACTCATAGCAGGCAGTGTCAAGTGCAGCGAAGCTTTGCCTTGTCTCGAAGCGAGAAACATAATCAGGTCAGGGTTTGTCCTTGTGCTCCCTCCTGGAGCCCCCATTTCTGTAGCTCTCTCTCCCTGAGGGTGCCTGCAGCCTCATGGGGGGCTGTCAGCCGAATGCCAGAGCCTCCTCTGTGGGTGGCTGGGTGAGGGCTGGTGTGTGGGGGGCATCACCCAGAGACCTGCCACAGCCTTCCAGCTCTCCCTTACCTCTACCTTTGGGCACCCAAAGCGCTTGGAAGGGGCACCAGCTGCACCTCCATCACTGCCAGCTCTTGTAGCCCAGATGCTCAGCCAAGCATGGGCTGGTTGCACAGGGAACATCAGCAGACACAGTCCAGGAAATCAACCTGTGTCCATGTCCCCCATCTTGGAGGTGAGACCCGTCCACAGCGAGTGCTCCAGCACCTCCTCTAACCACGGAACTCCAAACTCACAGGGACAGAGCGACCTTTGCCCTGGACCGTGGGCATTTCACACCAGAAAGTGGGGCTCCCACCTTGGAGCGAGTCCCACTTTGACAGCTCTCACTCTGGAATAAAGAGGGGTGAGCAAATCCCCCCAGGCAGGCTGCAGAGCTGTGTGGGTGGTGGCAGGGCACCAGCAGAGGAACAGGTTTGGTAGGGAAGGGAGGGGGGATGAGTTTCCATCCCCAGGTGCTCAGGGGTGAGTTTTCCATCCCCCAGTACTCTGGTATGGAGATGGGGTGATGCCTGACCTCCTGCAGCACCTGCCTGTTCCTCTGCCATCAGGCTGCCTCTGCTAGGGACGTACCAGCCACTCATGCCACCAACCACAGCGATGCTGTGGGAGCACGGCTTGTGGCGGAGCCATCACCAGGGAAGCTCACACCCCACCAGCACGGTGGGGACATTCCTCATGTTCCAAACCCTGAGGAGCCTGGAGGATGCTCCTGCTGCAGGCATGGGCTGGCCAGGGCTGCTGCCCCTCCACTTGGCTTGCTGGCTGAGGGGTGATGTTCTGGGGGCTCCTGCCATTCCCCTGCCTGCCCACCCAGGGTTGGGAAGCCCAGGAGCAAACCCTTGGCATCTCTCCCTTCCCTCCAAAGTGGAACTGTGCAATTAAAAGGAGAACAAGCATGCCTGTCTAGCTGGAAAAACTAACGCCTTCCCCAAGCTGGAATATTTTACCGGCTCTGCTCTCCCAGAAGGATTAAACCCCAGCCACCCCCTCCTGTATTAATTGGTTCCTTTTCTTCACACTGCAGAGACGCCTGCCTTTGTAACAGTAATGGCTGCCTGTGCTCTCCCCTCCGGAGCCGCTGAGCTTCCAGGGAATTTTGAGCAAATTGTATTGTCTGCCTTTATTGATGATTTTGCAGAGCCCAATGAATGTCATAAATCTGCCCTGCTGCTGAGATTAGTGCTAAAATAACATGGAAGGAAGCAGCCCACTCTTCCTGGAAAAACAAAAAGCAAGTCGGAGTTCCTGGTGTGAGATGCCCCACGTTGCCCTGGCACAGCCCCTCCATCCAGCCGGCTCCGTGCGGGGCTACCGCCAACGGCTTTTCCCGGCGAGGATATTGTCTGGAGCATCCTCATCCATCCCTCGGGCTGCTGCTGAGCCAGGGTGCCATGGGAAGCAGGTGCTGGCAGTGAGCTGCGGTAGCACATTGTCACCTCCTTTGCCACCCACGCTGCCACCCACAGAGCCAGTGCCAGGAGAACTGAGACCAGGGCTCCTTCTGGGTTAGAGAAAGGCCACGCCAGCAGCCCCAGCCCCACGCTCCACCTGACACAGTCTCCTTGTCCGACAGTCCTGGGCTCTATTGCTGCTGCTGAGTAAGCCACGCGGCCCCGGGCTGGTGTAACCTGTGGGTAGAACACCCCTGAGGGACACTGGTCCTGGCCTTGAGCCACGGTGTAAGACGGAATTTCAGCCCTGGGTCTGAGCTGGGGCTGCGGGAGGCTATGGTGGGGTTGTGCAAAACCCTTGGACCACTGAGGGAGGGAGGCACAAGCATCCCTCCCCCTCTGCCAGCCATGGGGCTGGGTCAGTGGGAGCTGGACCTCTGCTCCTGGGCAAGCCCCATGCTGCTGTCAGCACGGCCAAGCTCTGCACCACTGCCTTGGAGCTGTGGGGTGGGCCAGGGTACCATGTCCCAGACGGGTTGGGGGCTCCTCTCCCTACTCCCTGACCCACACCTTGTCTCTAGATCAACCTGAACAAGGGGGACGAGTACTGGTGGAATGCTATCCTGGAGGGCGAGGAGCAGATCGACATTGACAAGATCAACAAAGAACGCTCCATGGCCACAGTGGATGAGGAGGAGCATGCTGTGCTCGACCGCCTCACCTTTGACTACCACCAGAAGCTGCAGGGCAAGCCCCAGAGCCACGAGCTGGTAGGTGCCAGCCAGCCTGTGCCATCAGCCCAGCCTGGCCCTCTCACTAGCTCTCCAAGGGTCCCATTCCCAGGAAAAGGGTGCAGCATGTGGCAGCCCCACAGCTCTGCTGCATCTCAGAGCTCCTCCTCACTCACTGTCCCCCCCACATCAACCTTGTGGGGGCGTGAGGTTCAGCTGGTCCATCTTTTGCCATTCACTCGTTTTCCCCTTCCTGGCATCTTGGCAAATGCCCATAAGCCTGCACTGTGGCCGGGCCCCACATCTGTGTGCCTCTCCCCAGAGCTGGCCCTGCTCTGGGATGGATCTGCGTAGGTCTGGGCTCAACCAGACCCAGGAGCTGCCTGGTGCTGCCCTGGGTGCCATCTGCCCTTCCCTGGGCAGTGAGGAGAAGCAGGGGTGGTGTGTGCCCTTGGCAGTGGCTGCTGCCAGCTCGGGTGGAGGGGGAGCTGCTGGTGTCCACCACGTCCCCTTCCGTTGGTCAGGTGGCCATGCAGCCCTGACACCTGGGGGACAAGGGGCAGGGGAGGGCAAGGGGTGTGGGGGACAGCAGGGGGTCACCCCCGGCTGAAGAGATCCTGTGGCCTCTTTGCAGAAGGTGCACGAGATGCTAAAGAAGGGCTGGGACACCGAGGGCTCCCCGTTCCGTGGCCAGAAGTTCGACCCCTCCATGTTCAACATCTCCCCTGGCGCCGTCCAGTTTTGACGGCGGCAAAAACAACTGAAAAACGAAGCAGGGAGAGGAGAAACCCCCCGGATGCCGACTGGGACCCTCGCACTCTGTGCCGTGCCGGTGCCCGTGGCCTGCTGCTCCACGCTGCCAGCACCCATCCGTGCCGTGCGGGGAAGCCAGGCGGGCAGATTTACATCCTGTCACCACGGCAACCCGGGCGCCGAGACCCCTCTCCTCCCCTGCCTCCCCTTGCCTCGCGCTGCCGACGCTCTGTGTTTTTCCGGAATAGACGGAGCATGTTGGGTGACATAATTATTATTTTTGGTGGATGAGGATGCTGCTTTTGGGTTTTCTTGGGGTGTGGAGCCCTCCCTGCCCTGACTGTGGGCAGCTTTGCCCCTCGTGGGCAGAGCTGGGTGCTGGGTACGGGCAGCAGGGATGAGGGGACACATGGGGGAGCCTGCCCCTGCCTTGCACCCTGCCTGCACTCTGCCTGCACCCCGCCCACCTGGCACCCCCAAATCCCCTTGCCAACCCCACTCTGGGGTCTCCCATGGTGACTGTGCTGCCCTTGCCGCCTGCCCAGCCCCGGGGGAGGCTTCCTCGTGGCTTCCCACCCCATCACTGGAGGGCGATCAGGGCACCCTGGGGTGAGCAGAGACCTCAGCCAGACTGCAGGGTTTGCTTCCCCTTCCCCGGGGGTCAGCAGGGAGCAGTGTGGGTGTCCCTCACAGCCCTGGAGTTTGGGGGTGGCTGCAGACCCACCCCCCTTGTAGCCAGCAGCCCACTCCTCCAGCCAGTGGGCAGGAGAAACATGGGCTTCCCTGGCACGGAACTTGGAGGTCTGAGAGGGGGGATGTGGCAGCCCTGGCCCCCCCAGGCCCAGCCTGGCTCTTGCAGCTTCCCACTGCCCCTCCCACCCCGGGGTGGGTAGGCCAGGGGTCCCCGGCCGTCGCCTTGACCCTCCATTCACCCACCCCCAGTTTGCAATAAACACGTTTCTCACGGGGGGCCTGTGAGTGATTCGGTACGATCCCTGGGGGGCCGAGTGTCCCTGACCGCCGCCCCAGCCCCTCGCTTGTGGGGGAGGCTCGGGGATACCCGAGGAGGACGCCTGGGGTGTCTGTCTGCCAGCATCGGCCCCGGGCATGTGGAGGGTCCTTGGGGGGCTGGATATGGGATCCCTGTGGGGCAAGGAGTGGATTTTGTGATCCCCGGGAGGGGGTGGATATAGGATAGCCCGAGGGGGGCTGGATTTGGGGGTTCCTTGGGCGTGGGGGTTTCGGAATATGGGATCCAGGGGCGGGGCTGGATTTCGAGGTCCTTGGTGTGGGGGCGTGGATATGGGATCCCCGCAGGCTGGCTAGGTTTGATGTGGTGGGCACCCAGCGCTGGGGGTGCTGCCCCCGGATCCCCCCCGCCGGTGCCGGCATCTCCCGGTGCTGATGCGCTCACCGGGCCCGCGGCCCCCCGGCCGCCCACGGTCCCCATGGCAACGGCAGCGCCAGCCGCCCGCCGCCCACCCGCCACGGGGGGGCCGCGCCCACCCACCCGCGCCCACCCCACCGGCCGAGGGGGGACACCCCAGGCTCTGGCACTGCTGGTGGTGTCCAGGCCTGTTTGTGCGTGACCCCCGTACCAAAATCCGCCCCGCATCGTGCCGCTGGCACTGGGGGGCTTCAAGGTGCCCTTGGGGAAGGTGAGGGGGGGGGTGTTTTTGGCCCCCCTCCAGGCCCCTCCCGGATGTTTTGCTTAAGGAGGGGAGGGGTTGGAGCCTGGAGGGGTTATTTGGGGTAACACTTATGCGGGAGGGGGGCCTCGGTATTGGGGAGAATGGGGGGTTGT